AATAAAATATATAATTATTACTATTATAAATACTTATACTGCCACAAACAAGGACGTTGCCATGGTTATTGCTTCTTGTGGTGTCAGACTTCCAGGTATTTATACTAATTTACATATTTATTTATGGGTGGCGACAGATCGGACCAGCATCTGCTCTATTCCCTGCAAATTTGGGATTTATATAGGAAAGGTGCACACGGCTTTATACATCTGGATTTCTTTTGTGACGCACTTTTCTAAATTTGTCCATACGCTGAGATTTAGTGTGAAAACGTCACACTCTTTTATGCATGAGGACCCAGATCACTGTAACACACCTCTAGAGAGATCTTGGATGAGATCGTTCACCACAGATACCTCGTTAGGTATCCCCACTCTGATGCTGTGAGTCCAAAATTAGCATATCCAAGATTTTTACTTGGATATGCTGACAACAACATAACAGCATTAAAGGAGCACACTGATTGCGTAGCACATATATACATTTTTTTGTATATAGATGTAATCAGGTGGTCTATTTTACCTGGGAGCAATCTGCTTGAGGACATGAAGACAGACCTATGGTTAGAGGGAAGGTGCAAGGTGGTAAGCCACTGAAGATTCCACCGTTGGGGGTTCAGACAGACTGACTCACCTGCATCTCCAGTTCAGAGAAACATTTGAAGAAATGTATTTATTCTTAAATGGGCTAAACCACAAATGTTTAATTTTAATTTCTTTCATACAAGAATACAGATTTTTGAATTTACTGATATTTAATGATGCTCTCATTGAACAAACAGTGGAGAAGAAAAGCTTTCTAATAATGAAGTCAGTCTTTTTTTAACATCAATTGAATATTATTGAGAAAACAATGAATCAAAATGTTGATCAGCCCTCACCAGTCCTCTAGGGATAAGTGTATAAGATAAAGGGAGTAGGGTTTACTCCAGAAAACTTGCTAAGCCAAGTGGTCGGGGTGCCGAGGCAATCTTTTGTATTAAAAGATTTTAAGTAGACAGGAAATGTAAATATATATGTACATAGTTATATGTTACGAGAAGACATCAGTTAAACTCACAACTGACAAGTCATAAAACAACAAATCAAAATAAATAAATAAAAATAAAAATAAAATGAATATCAATTATTTGTACTTCCGTTTAATCCAAATTAAATCAGCAGCTCCAGAAGGCCCCCAGGGCGTCAGGGGCCCATAATGCTAATATTTTAACACAGACCACAGATATAGAATTTTAACTTTTGTTCATTGAAAAAGTCAATGCTGTTAAAATTGACTTAATGTTTCAGCATACAAAAAAGGATTTTAAATTGTTTAACACTTAAGATTTTAAGGAGTTGGCAAGTTTACGTTGTAAAAGTTCAAAGAACAATCTTCAGAGTTAGATTATTTTGTTACCATAGCAACAATCTGATGCTGAGTTTAACCTTTGAGTTTGAGCTCTGTTTGGTTACAAATACATCAAGTTTACAATACCCTGGGATGAATGGACAGAACATTTTTATTGTTGTAAGACATTTTTTGTGATAAATGACACTATAAATGCCCACCCCTAGTTGTCCATGATACTGCATGGTGGGTGGAGCCACGGACACAGCTCAAACTGTCTATTGCAAGCAGAAGTGATGTCATTGGATGTCAGTCATTACAACTGAAAACCAGCGATCAGGCCTGAAACCTGGGAGTAGTGATGGACTCTGACCTGAACCTCCAGAACCACATTAAGACAGTCACAAAGTCGGCCTTCTATCACCTGAAGAACATCTCCAGGATTAGAGGACTGATGTCTCAGCGAGATCTAGAGAAACTCATCCATGCGTTTATCTTTAGCCGCATTGATTACTGCAACAGCGTCTTCACAGGTCTGACTAATAAATCAATCAAACAGCTGCAGCTGATCCAGACCGCTGCTGCTCGTGTTCTCACTAAAACCAGGAAGATAGAGCACATAACACCAGTTTTAAAGTCCCGACACTGGCTCCCTGTGGCTTAAAGAATAGACTTTAAAATACTGTTAGTTTATAAATCACTGAACGGTTTAGCACCACAATACCTTAAAGATCTGTTATTGCTGTACCAACCGTCTAGACCCCTCAGATCTTCTGGTTCTGGTTCTGCTCTGCATCCCCAGAACCAGAACCAAACAAGGAGAAGCAGCATTGAGTTTCTATGCTCCACAAATTTGGAACAAACTTCCAGAAAACTGTAAAACAGCTGAAACACTGAGTGCCTTTAAATCTCAACTTAAAACCCACCTGTTTAGAGTTGCTTATGGCTAAATTGCGGGTTTTGATGTCTTCAATGTTTTTATCTTTACTTTTCATCTATTTATTAATGTCACATACTGTTTTTATTTTTTCTTTAATTATGTAAAGCACCTTGAAATGCCTTGCTGCTGAAATGTGCTATACAAATAAAATTTGATTGATTGATTGATTGATTGATTGATTGATTGATTGATTGATTGATTGATTGTTTGGAGCTTCCATAGTTGGCCATCTTAAAGTGATTCCATCGTGAAACACAGAGCAAAGTTAGAAAAAGAGCAACTTCTGTCATTTTAAAAACAAAGATTTGCATATGTAACGCTAAAAGGGTTTAATTTTCTTTAGCATTAGTTGGTGTATATGTGGAGGCCACAGCTGTTTGACAGAGGAAGGAAGAGGCTCACAAAGTATGTTTCCATTAACTATACAAATAGTGCAAACTGAAATTCTGAAAATAAATTTGCAAATGGAAAAGCACCAATTTCATAAAATCTCATGTTAATGAGGTGGGGTTTTTTTTTACACTGTCCTTCAATTGGCTTCTTATGTGCAGTGTGAACTTTTTTTTTATTATTATTATTTATTTTTCATTGTTTCAGGCAGGCAGCTGGTCAGGAGGAGAGGCCTCAGCTCCAGGTTTGGATGCAGCTTCCCAGAATCTCCCAGTGATCCTCTTCCTCCTCCTGACATCATCTTCTTCACTGTCTCATCTTTTATATACTTCATTTATAGGAATATTTTTTCATAATTCTCCAAACTGATTCCCCATGGGCTGAATATCTGCTTGTAAGTTATTGTAATAAATACATTTTTATGAAAACATTTTGTCTCTGTTTATTTTGTAAGATTTGAATTTACAATCTGATAATAACAACAGAAAATAAGCTTGGTAAGTATATAGTAAGTATTGTAAATAAATCACCCAGTTAAAGCTCTGGCTACATACAGCTTGATACAAATTAAAAATGAAATAATTCTTTTAAAGTTTCTTGCTTGTACATCCAGAGCAAAGGAATAATGGAAAGTATCAACTCAAAAGTTGTTCATTATGTTTAGTCAGTT